AGCGCACGGAAATGCTGTTTACCTTCCCACTTACCTATTTATCTACTTGCACTTTGATGTGCTTTCAAACTGCTAGGTTGGCAGGAGCTGGGACTGAACAACGGGAGCTCACCCAATCACAGGGATTCGAACCGCCAACCTTCTGATCGGCAAGCCCTAGGCTCTGTGGATTAACCCACAGTGCCACCCACGTCCCTAATGGAATAATAGCTGGATGTATAAACTCTGCTGAAAAGACAAGTAACACCTGTTTTCAAATGCCTGCTATTAACTAGAAAACTTGCGAAGTCTGCCCACGAATGCAATATAGCCAGCCTCTTGCTGTGAACGCTCAGCCTTTAGTCTAGATTTTATCAGCATCTTAATCCCTCAACAGGGATGGAGTGCAAAAAGAAAGGGTTCTGAAGAACTCTTTTAATGGAAGTAGCCCTCTTTTAAAATAGGTGATGTTTGAAATGTGCCCCTTGATGATAGAGAGCGATCCTCTCTCACTTGGGTGTTGCATTGTGGGACACTTAGGAGTGCCTTATACAGGGTTAAAGGGACGCGGGTGGCGCTATGGTTAGACCACAGAGCTTAGGACTTGCCGATCAGAAGGTCAGCGGTTTGAATCCCCACGATGGGGTGAGCTCCCATTGCTCGGTCCCTGCTCCTGCCAACCTAGCAGTTCGAAAGCACGTTAAAGTGCAAGTAGATAAATAGGTACCTCTCCAGCGGGAAGGTAAACGGCGTTTCCGTGCGCTGCTCTGGTTCGCCAGAAGCGGCTTAGTCATGCTGGCCACATGACCCGGAAGCTATACGCCAGCTCCCTTGGCCAATAAAGCAAGATGAGCGCTGCAACCCCAGAGTCAGTCACGATTGATAATGGTCAGGGGCCCCTTTACCTTTTACCTTACCCCTAGGTATACCCCTGTTTTCCAGTCACACCATTCAAAGCTCCTTCGGTTCCCAGCTAGCTTTGCCAGGAAACTCTCTCTCACTCTCTCTTTCCTGCTCAAGATCCAGTGGTTTGCCTTCTGACATTGAATTGCATTGTGCGCCTGGATGCATGCAAGATAAGGCGCAAGCTCGAGAACACTTTTTAACTCAAATTTTTATTTTCCAAAAATTTAACACATACACTTCAATACACAGTAAAGCATTTTCCCCCCTTGTTATTTTTGGCAACTTCCCATCCCCTTTTCCATGATGTTTTGATTTTCCTCCTTCTGTAGCACTCTGCCTTCTACTTCATATCTTAGCAACACTACCTTTAAGTTCTTCTTCTGTTGTTCATAGTTCAAATCCTGCTCACATATTCATCCTATAATGACATTTCTTTAAATGCAAGCTCGAGAGCTCTTGCTTGGTTTTGAAACCCTTTTCTTTCGGTGTTGTCAGTCATGCTTATTTTTAAATGCCTGACTTGTTCCTATTTGCTAGTGGGAGTGGGGTTGGCGCTATATTCTTAGAATATCTCTGCTTGTGCACATTGCTGTGGCCGAACCTGTTTCGCACTCGCCCAAGTTCCTGTGCAAACAACAGGCCGGGCAGAGTGCTCCAAAGCAAAGTGATCTGTGCTTGCCTGGTCTTGATGGTCTCTGGGCAGAGGACTTGCTACCATAAACCTCTCTTATAATATGCGCTGGCAGAAGGGAACAGCCCATGCACTGAGGGGCTGCCAATGCACACCTGCCAACTCAACTGATCTCTCCCGGTTGGCCACTGCGAGAATAGGATGCTGGGCAAGGTGGACTCTTCTAATGCTTTTAAGGATGGATGGCAGATAATGGATTGAAGTTGAATCCTGACAAGTACAGTGGTACCTCAGGTTAAGTACTTAATTCGTTCCGGAGGTCCATTCTTAACCTGAAACTGTTCTTAACCTGAAGCACCACTTTAGCTAATGGGGCCTCCCGCTGCCGCCGTGCCACCGGAGCACGATTTCTGTTCTCATCCTGAAGCAAAGTTCTTAACCCGAGGTACTATTTCTGGGTTAGCAGAGTCTGTAACCTGAAGCTTATGTAACCTGAAGCGTGTGTAACCCAAGGTACCACTGTACAGTCATACCTTGGGTTACAGACGCTTCAGGTTGCATTTTTTGGGGGGGTTACGGACCTGCCAAAACCCGAAAGTACCGGAATGGGTTACCTCCAGGTTTCGGGGGTCGCGCATGCGCAGAAGCACTAAATCACGCTTTGCGCATGCGCAGAAGACCAAATCACAACCTGTGCGTGCACAGACGCGCCGCTGCAGGTTGCGAACTCTGTGGGTTGCGAACGTGCATCCCGCACAGATCATGTTCGCAACCTGAGCGTCCACTGTATTGTTTCTGGGGGACAGAGGGTGGGCAGGTGTGGGGGACTCCCTGGTCCTTCAACACTGGTGATCTTTGCCTCTTCCAGTACACTGATATTAGTTTGCCTGTCTTCCCAAGTGATGTGTAGCTGTAACGGTTGGAGGATGGATGGTGGCTAACAGACTGAGGTTGAATCCTGGCAAGACAGAAGTACTGTTTTGGGGGGACAGGGGGCGGGCGGGGGCGGGGGACTCCCTGGTCCTGAATGGGGTAACTGTGCCCCTGAAGGACCAGGTGCACAGCCTGGGAGTCATTCTGGACTCAAAGCTGTCCATGGAGGCACAGGTCAATTCTGTGTCCAGGGCGGCTGTCTCCCAGCTTCATCTGCTATGCAGGCTAAGACCCTACCTGCCCACAGACTGTCTTGCCAGAGTGGTGCATGCTCTAGTTATCTCCCGCTTGGACTACTGCAATGTGCTCTACATGGGGCTACCTTTGAAGGTGACTCGGAAACTACAACTAATCGAGAATGCGGCAGCTAGACTGGTGACTGGGATTTTTTTTTAAATCAAAATGTAAGTCCCTGCACCTAATTCTCTTTTACAAAAACACAAACGAAAAGCACTGACTGGTGGCCATTGATAGCCTCACACTCTATAAATTTATCCAATCCTCTTTTAAAGCCACCCAAGTTGGTGGCCATCTCTACATCTTGTGGCTATAAGTCCCGTAGTTTAAAGAAGTGCTGTGTAGAGGAGTCCATTGTTTTGCCTGTTAAGCTTCATTGGATGACGTCACTAGTCTCCTGAACCACTTTCTTTGTCCATATGCTTATACAGTGGTACCTCGGGTTAAGAACTTAATTCGTTCTGGAGGTCTGTTCTTAACCTGAAACTGTTCTTAACCTGAAGCACCACTTTAGCTAATGGGGCCTCCTGCTGCCGCCGTGCCACCAGAGCACGATTTCTGTTCTCATCCTGAAGCAAAGTTCTTAACCCGAGGTAATATTTCTGGGTTAGCGGAGTCTGTAACCTGAAGCGTATGTAACCCGAGGTACCACTGTACACGTCTACTGAGCCCTCCTTTACCCCACTTTCCTTTCGCCCAAACCACAACACCCCAAACATTGCCAACTTTTCCTCATAGGTAAGTTGATCTGCCCCTCTGGTCATTTTCTGCATGCGAAGTGACAGCGGTCTCTGTTATTGACTGACTGGCAACATTTATATCGTTCCTTTTCCTCTAAGGAGCTCAAGGTGGTACAGTCCCCCCTCCCTCATTTTAATCCCCACAACAACCCTGCGAAGTAGGGCAGGCTGCAAGGCAGTGACTGGCCGAAGGTCACCCAGTGAGTTTCATGGCCAAATGGGCATTCAAACCTTACGTCTCCCAGGTCCTTTTCTGACGCTCTAACCACTACACCACCGCTGCCTCCCATTACTAACTTGGCTATTCAGAACCAACAAGGCAGGAAAACATTGCTACCAACCTGAAGGCTTTGGGATAGCACATATCTAGGCAACAGTTTTGCAAACCCTCATCCAAGTTTCCAATCAATATTTGAGCATGCAGTAATCCATCACAGGACACCAGTAATAACCCGACACATACAGGTTTGTTCCTTGTAATACATAATAAATAGCTCTTTTGTTTGGGACCAGCTCACCCGGCTATCGATTGCTTCTGAGATCAAGGAGGAGGCGGCTGGATCCGCTCATAGCCAGAGAAGTTTTGGCAAGCACAACAGGAACAATCCTGTGGTCCAGATGATGCTCAGAAACTCAACTGCTTGCCGCTGTTCAAGCAAAGGGTGTGTGTATGTGCAAGGCAACATCTCCCAGCCAAAATCGCAAGCTTTTCTTTCTCAAAAGTCAAATATTTTCGTCGGGCTGAGGACCAGCACATCCATCAGGTTGCATAACGACACAGGAATGTTTCCATGAAGTGGCTGTTGCAACAACTGATTCCCCTTCTGAAGAGACAAGTGTCAAGTTTTTCCCCCAACGTTGGATCCAAGAGGGAAATGCAAAATGATGAAATACGAAACGAAGCAGGATTCCCCAACTGGTGCCCTCCAAATATTGAGTGCCGCACTTCCCCTGGTGGCCCAGGCATTGGTCAAGGATGATGGGAGTTGGAGTCCAGTAACATCACCAGGTTGTTGAAGGATTATTATTATTATGAGATTCCTGCATCACAGGGGGTTGGACTAGATGACCCTAGGGTCCCTTCCAACTATAAGATTCTACGATGATGATGATTAATTAAATTTGTATACTGCCCTATACCTGCAGGTCTCAGAGCGGTTACAACATAAAATCACAGTATAAAAACACAAAATACATAATAAAAATGAGAAGGAAAACTCAATAATCCTGCCCCAACACCTTTTAAAAGGGCATTGGATGTCAATGGGTAAAGAGGAACGTTTTTGCCAGCTGCCTAAAGGTTTATAATAAAGTCGCTAGCCAAACCTTTGTAGGGAGAGCATTCCACAAATGGGGAACCACTGTAGAAAAGGTCTGTTCTCGTGTTGCCAGCCCCCACACCACCGGTGCCTTTTACAATTCCTTTTTGTAGTTTTGCTGTATGGTTTATGTTTTTATTGCTGTAAACCACTTTGGTAGATTTTTTAAAATGACATATATTTTATGGTACGCAAATATTTTTACAAATAAGTAATAAATCTCTGGGGTTGCAGACAGGACATCTCTGCCAGACCTGCCGAGAGACGCCAGGGATTGAACCTGCGACCTTGTGACCTTGAACCTGCGAACCTGCATCCGAGGCAGAAGCTCTACCACCAAGCTCTGGGCCTCTATATGCTGTTGCGCATGTTGCTAGCCAAACCCAAGTATTTATTACTAACACTCTAGCCAGCCTGCAATAAGTTCGCTGCTTCGTTAATATAATAATAATAATTAATAATAATAATAATAATAATAATTTATTATTTATATCCCGCCCATCTGGCTGAGTTTCCCCAGCCACTCTGGGCGGCTTCCAATCAAGTGTTAAAAACAATACAGCATTAAATATTAAAAACTTCCCTAAACAGGGCTGCCTTCAGATGTCTTTTAAAGATAGGATAGCTGCTTATTTCCTTCACATCTGAAGGGAGGGCATTCCACAGGGCGGGCGCCACCACCGAGAAGGCCCTCTGCCTGGTTCCCTGTAACCTCACTTCTTGCAATTAGGGAACCGCCAGAAGACCCTGGATCTCAATGTCCGGGCTGAACGATGGGGGTGGAGACGCTTCTTCAGGTATACAGGACCGAGGCCGTTTAGGGCTTTAAAGGTCAGCACCAACACTTTGAATTGTGCTCGGAAACGTACTCGGAGCCAATGCAGATATCTCAGGACCGGTGTTATGTGGTCCCAGTGGCCACTCCCACTCACCAGTCTAGCTTCCGCATTCTGGATTAATTGCAGTTTCCGGGTCACCTTCAAAGGTAGCCCCACGTAGAGTGCATTGCAGTAGTCCAAGCGGGAGATAACTAGAGCATGCACCACTCTGGCAAGACAGTCCGCAGGCAGGTAGGGTCTCATCCTGCGTACCAGGTGGAGCTGGTAGACAGCTGCCCTGGACATAGAATTAACCTGTGCCTCCATGGACAGCTGTAAGTCCAAAATGACTCCCAGGCTGCGCACCTGGTCCTTCAGGGGCACAGTTACCCCATTCAGGACCAGGGAGTCCCCCGCCCCTGCCCGCCCCCTGTACCCCCCAGAACAGTGCTTCTGTCTTGTCAGGATTCAACCTCAATCTGTTAGCTGCCATCCATCCTCCAACAGTTACAGCTACACATCACTTGGGAAGACAGGCGAACTAATACCAGTGTACTGGAAGAGGCAAAGATCACCAGTGTTGAAGCAATGATTCTTCAACATCAACTTCGTTGGACTGGTCATGTTGTGAGGATGCCTGATTATCGTCTTCCAAAGCAACTATTCTATTCCGAACTTAAAAATGGAAAGTGTAAGGCTGGTGGTCAACAAAAGAGGTTTAAAGACTGCCTCAAGGCAAATCTAAAAAATGTAGTGTACACACTGACAACTGGGAAACACTGGCCTGCGAGCGCTCCAGTTGGAGAACAGCCTTCACCAAAGGTGTCATGGGCTTTGAGGACACTCGAACTCAGGACACAAGGGAGAAAGGTGCTAAGAGGGAGGCACGCTTGGCAAATCCACACCGTGATCAACTCCCGCCCAGAAACTAATGTCCCCACTGTGGAAGGATGTGTGGATCCAGAACTGGCCTCCACAGTCACTTACGGACTCACTGTTAAAACCGTGTTTATGGAAGACAATCTTACTTGGCTACGAGGGATCGCCAAAGAAGAAGACTACAACCAGGTTTCAGCAAGTGACAAATGAGGTGTGCACCTCCAGATATGGCCCCCAAGGCCTTTCTATCTGGTCCTTAGGACTCTCACGGAGCAATATCCCCTATCCCTAAGCCATGTCCATCACTGGCCCCAAGGTCCTTGCTTGCCTGGGTGGAAGATGGAGACAGGTGTGTGTTTGCGTCTATACAACTCTAACCTTTGCCCATGAGGAAATATGGACCTCAGTCAGAAGAAAGTTCCCCTTATCTGAGCCAGAATAAACACCCTACAAAAGAAATAAGACAAAGAGTGCGAAAAGGGGCCCAGGGATAGCAAGTGAATGACTCCAACTCATCGCTGTTAATCACAGCAACAATTGCATCCTTGTGTTTATTGCGACAGTTGTTAGGAGACCTAATCCTGAGCATATTTGCATCTATTTTCTAAAGATGTGGTGGGAGAGAGGAGAGGAAGCTGTTCCAAATTTAAAATGTCTCTTCCTTCACAGCACAAGGTGATTTGCTGCTAAAAGGCTGCTTAATCCCAGAAGATAGAGGACAGCTGTTTTTCTCCCCAGCTACAAGTCAAACAAACTCTTTGGCTTGCATGCCTCTGCCTTCTCGGCGGAGAGACAAAAAGTGTTCCCGCTGCAGCCACCGAGCAAACAAAATGTCATGCGTTTCTGGAACGAGGTTGCAAACCCGAAGCTAAACAAAGCAACTAGGTGGAAAATGGGGAAGGAAGTGAGAAATATTTTGCTAAGTTTGCTCTTCAGGGAGAAGTGGTAACAGCCAAACGAAATCTCACTTGGGGCCTGTCATGTATAGATCAGCGCTTAAAATCGTGTCGGACATTTTGCTATATATTATGCTCTCTGCCTGTATTGTGGGAGATTTTGCATTCAAACCTAACAATGCACGCCTATGCTAGTTAATAAATGATGGGGTTAAGGACCAGGCAGCTGTAAATTGCTGTGATTTGTTACAGAAGGCTTGGTTAGGTCATGCCCCCCTCACCTTTGGAGAGGAAGTAAATAAGGGTTGTTTCCTGTCCTCCCATCTTCTCTTTGAACTATGTAACTGAGCAGACATCTCAGACTGTATGTTTGAGACTAACGTCCGTATTTTGTAACCAATAATACCTTGCCTGTGTTGTTTCTGCTGCAGTGTTAAATGATACATGAGTGAGATCTCTGATTCCTGTAAGTAAAGCATTTAAACTTACTTAAGGTTGTGGTCTATTTACTCCGAGAGGGGTGGGGGGGTGGGGGAAAGCACAATTGTGAGCACTTAATACAATGGTACCTCAGGTTAAGAACTTAATTTGTTCTGGAGTTCAGTTCTTAACCTGAAACTGTTCTTAACCTGAGGTACCACTTTAGCTAATGGGGCCTCCCACTGCCACTGCACCGCCGGAGCACGATTTCTGTTCTCATCCTGAAGCAAAGTTCTTAACCCGAGGTACTATTTCTGGGTTAGCGGAGTCTGTAACCTGAATCGTCTGTAACCTGAGGTACCACTGTACCAGGACATGTAAAGGTCTGACAACTTGTATTTTACTGTGCTTTGCAAACACTGCACCTACTTTTGTACAAAACTCTGTTGGAGGCTCTTTTGGCTAGGGAGTGACCCAAACTCCATGTACTTTTTGAATTCAGGCAGTCTGCCGTTTTTTCCTTTTCTTTTGCAGTTTCCCCACTCCAGGACTCAGGATTAACTGGTATCCCCCAGTTAATTTCCAACAGGTGTAAATACAGTGGTACCTCGGGTTACAGATGCTTCAGGTTACAGACTCCGCTAACCCAGAAATAGTACCTCGGGTTAAGAACTTCGCTTCAGGATAAGAACAGAAATCGTGTGGCGGCAGCAGGAGGCCCCATTAGCTAAAGTGGTACCTCAGGTTAAGAACAGTTTCAGGTTAAGAACGGACCTCCAGAATGAATTAAATTCTTAACCAGAGGTACCACTGTACAGGTAACTCGCATCTTTCGCTTATTATCTTTACGTGATCGTAGCTTTGCACATGTATGTGATGGGGGGATAAATAAATAAATGTGGAGTGGAGGAAACCCACCATTCACCACTCCCCATTTCTTTATCCCTTCTCTCCTGCACAAGGCTGTGATCACAGGCTTACTTGGCGCTGGGAAGGCTGTGTGAAGGCTTAGTGCAGGCATCCCCAAACTCTGCCCTCCAGATGTTTTGGGACTACAATTCCCATCATCCCTGACCACTGGTCCTGTTAGCTAGGGTTGATGGGAGTTGTAGTCCCAAAACATCTGGAGGGCCGAGTTTGGGGATGCCTGGCTTAGTGACTCCTTTACTGGACTTTGTGAAGGTGGAAGGAGGGATCTGGGATGCTGTCTTCCCAAAGCCAGGCAAGCAGTCCTCCACCTTGTGTGGGGGAGTGATTGGGGGGGTGCGCACTGAGAGCCAGTGTGGTGTAGTCAGTGGCGTAGCGTGGGGGGTGCAGGGGGGGCCGGCCGCACCGGGCGCAACATCTGGGGGTTAGGGTTAGGGGGCGCAAATTACTTGCCTTGCCCCGGGTGCTGACAACCCACGCTACGCCACTGGGTGTAGTGGTTAAGAGTGGTGGACTCATCTGGTGAACCGGGTTCGCTTCCCCGCTCCTCCACATGCAGCTGCTGGGTGACCTTGGGCCAGTCACACTTCTCTGAAGTCTCTCAGCCCCACTCACCTCACAGAGTGTTTGTTGTGGGGGAGGAAGGGAAAGGAGAATGTTAGCCGCTTTGAGACTCCTTCCGGTAGTGATAAAGCGGGATATAAAATCCAAACTCTCTTCCTGCCTTTGTGCATTTATGTGTGGACCCTGGAACCAAATCCTCCTATAAATCCTCCTTCACTGCATAGTGAAGGCTCTGTATCCTCAACATCTGACTCCAAATATAGAAATTTTTATTTAATAACTTTCCTTTCTTCCTTCCTTCCTTCCTTCCTTCCTTCCTTCCTTCCTTCCTTCCTAAGTTCTAGGCTCTGGAAATGGCATTTCTGAACTTCAAATGCAACTTCCACAAAAGTTTCAAAGATTAATTTTTCGGTTCCCCAGCAGGCGGTTTTGTCGTCATCCAGACCGAAAGGGCGAGAATTTAGCCTCTCAGAGGAAGCAAAAGGATGCATTAATTAATTTCTTATGTTGCCGCGCTACAAGCTGAAGAATAGAGCAGATGCCACATTTGAAAACTCATTAACCTTTCTTGACAGTTTTTATTATTATTATTTTAACATTTTTCTGTGCTTTGCTAAATCTCCCCTCCTGAAAGGCACCACGTGGTGCGTTTTTGACAAAGACTGGCAGAAAGGAAATCACAACAGAGAAATCTTTGCTGGGATCTCCAAGACAAGACCCTTTCAAGAATACATTTCTGCAAATCATTTTCGGAAGGAAATGATCAAATGTTTTGGATTTATACACATTCGCTGTGTGTTACAGCTTGGGGAGACAGAGCCTCTCTCAAGCGCTACAGTGAATAAAGTTGGATAAAGATGTCATGCCAGAGTGCGACAGCTGTGAAAAAAGCGAATTCCACATTAGAGATGACTAGATGAGGGATTGAAAATGGAACGTAATCTTATTTGGTCTTTCTAGTCGAAGGTGCAGGAGACTCTTGAGAGTCCCATGGACTGCAAGAAGATCAAACCTATCCATTCTGAAGGAAACCAGCCCTGAGTACTCACTGGAAGGACAGATCGTGAAGCTGAAGCTCCAATACTCTGGCCACCTCATGAGAAGAGAAGACTCCCTGGAAAAGACCCCTGATGTTGGGAAAGACTGAGGGCACAAGGAGAAGGGGACGACAGAGGACGAGATGGTTGGACAGTGTTCTTGAAGCTACCAGCATGAGTTTGACCAAACTGCGGGAGGCAGTGGAAGACAGGAGTTCCTGGCGTGCTCTGGTCCATGGGGTCACGAAGAGTCGGACACGACTAAACAACTAAACAACAATAACATGTTGAAGGTTTCCATTGAAATAGGTTCAATCTACAATGCGATGGCTAGCATTTTTCCTGCACTTGCATTATTGGGGTTTGGGGATTATCTTAACTAAAAGATGACTGATAAAGATTAGCCTTCTTGCACTGTTAGAGATAGCCACATGCCAGAAGTCAGTAGAAAGCTTGAATAATGAATCATGGCATGCTCAAGGCTGGAGAGTAGCATTCAGGGCCGTCTTAAGCATATGCAGCGCCCGGGTGCAAAGATCCGCCCGGTGCCCCTAGCTTGCCCAGAGTTGTCGGCCTTTTTTTGGGGGGGGGACCCCAAAGTTGTTGACCCTTTTTTAAGGAAATACAGTGGTACCTCTGGTTGCAAACGGGAAAACGGGATCCATTCCGGAGGCCCATTCGCAACAAGAAAGGAACGCAACCCGCAGCGGCGCGTCTGCGCGGGTTGAGATTTGCTGCTTCTGCGCATACGCATGACGTCATTTTGCGCGTCTGCACAAGCAGCGAAACCCGGAAGTAACCCTTTCTGGTACTTCCGGGTCGCCGCAGGACATAACCTAAAAGAATGTAACATGAAGCGGACGTAACATGAGGTATGACTGTAGTTGTTTACCTTTAGAATGGTTGCGGGGCGTAGGAAGGTGGGTGTGGGTTCCATGCTGGGGAGAAATGCCAGATGACACAGTCACCGTACTGTCCGCCCACTCCCTCCCCCCCAGCTGCATGGCGGCTAACTGTTTCGGAGCGGTGTATAACATTGTGGGCACTGCGCAACGCATCCTGTTTCATGCGCAAGCTGCAGGTTCCTTTGGTGGCTTTTCCGCTGTTGGCGCATGCTCCCAGCGCCACCCAACGCTGGAGCGCTGCGGGCTCTTCTGCTGCGGGTGGCTCGTTGCAAGTTCGGGGCAAACGTTGGAGTCCGGGGAAGAGTCGCCCGCAGCAGAAGAGCCCACGGCGTTCCAACGGGCTCTGCTCCACTCGGCTGTCGGCAGCTCTTGCCCAGACTCCAATGCTAGGCCCCAGATTCTTGGCCTGGTACCTCTGAGAATCTGGTGCCCGGGAGCAGTGCACCCCTAGCGCCAATGATTAAGACGGCCCTGGTAGCATTAGTTGGAAAGCTAACATGTCAACTCAGAGCAGCCCAAGGAAAATCTAATCCTTTCTCTTTTTATAATACTGTTTATCGAATACATGAGGGGAGAAGACCAAGGAAGAAAACCACCGAGTACACATTTTGGAATAACGCGATGACCATTTATTGATATTTGAATGAGGATGGCTCAGTCGGTAGAGCACGAGACTCTTAATCTCAGGCTCATGGGTTCAAGAAGAGAAGAAGAGTTTGGATTTGATATCCCACTTTATCACTACCCGAAGGAGTCTCAAAGCGGCTAACATTCTCCTTTCCCTTCCTCCCCCACAACAAACACTCTGTGAGGTGAGTGAGGCTGAGAGACTTCAGAGAAGTTTGACTGGCCCAAGGTCACCCAGCAGCTGCATGTGGAGGAGCGGAGACGCGAACCTGGTTCACCAGATTACGAGTCTACTGCTCTTAACCACTACACCACACTGGTTCACATTGGGTAGAAGATTCCTGCATTGCAGGGGGTTGGACTAGATAACTCTTTCCAGCTCTACAGTTCTACGATTCTATGATTCAGTGGTGAGCAGGAATCCACTGGATTCTGCCTGATGGCTCGTGACCTTGAACACTGGCAATGTCTCTGCATGACAACTCTGTTCCGCAATACTGTCATAAAACATCCTTGGCAGCTCTCCATCCCCTTAATGCACGGGTTGGCAAACTAAGGCCTGGGGGCCGAACTGGGCCCATCGCCTTTTAAATCCGGCCCGCGGATGGTCTGGGAATCAGCATGTTTTTACATGAGTAGAATGTGTGCTTTTATCTAAAATGCATCTCTGGGTTATTTGTGGGGCATAGAAATTCGTTTCCCCCTCCCAAAAAATATAGTCCGGCCCCCCACAAGGTCTGAGTGACATGGACCGGCCCCCTGCTGAAAAAGTTTGCTGACCCCTGCTTTAACGTTTTAATGAGAAAATCCCAAGCCTTCAGAACCAGCCGCTTCTACCGCCTCACTACTGTAGGAGCAGTGCTGAGAAGCTGCGGCAGTGGACCCCATTAGGAAAATGAAACTGTGCTCCCTTTTGCTTCATTTGTGACTCACCCCACCTCGCGCCCCCAATTCCTTTCGCTTCTCCTGAGCTGCAGTGATCGTCCTGATTGCTCTAATATTTACCCCCTAGAGGTTTTTCTTCATCCAATTTGTTAAAGCAATCAGAGCTTTCAAAGAATCAGACCAGGCTGCCCAAGACCCCAGTCGCTTTCTGATCCGTTGTCTCCACTTTACTTCTCAGTGCCATGCTGGGTGGTTTTGTGCTTGTGGAAACATGCAGAGTGGGGGACACTTTGCCTGAGCAGCCAGCAGCCCAGCAAATGAGCTAGAACAGATTGAAAAAGCTTGTTATGGTTTGTGTGTGTATTAACAGAATGAGTGATTAGGAAGGAAATTGATTAGCTAAAATGAGATAATCAGATTACACCCATGTGGATGAGTAGCTGCCATATTGTTTATCTGGCTTTGATATGCCCTCCCCTCAATAATGCTATTCTAGGCTGCATCAACAGGAGTATAGCGGGAAGTAATAATACTGCTCTCTTCTGCCAGTATTTGGAGTACTGTGTCCATTTATGGCCACCACAGTTCAAGAAGGGATATTGACAAGCTGGAATGTGTGCAGAGGAGGGCAACCAACGTCTGGAAACCAAGCCATATGTGGAACGGTTGAGGGAGTTGGGAATGCTTAGCCTGGAGAAGAGAAGACTGAGAGGGAGATAGGGTAAAGGTAAAGGGACCCCTGACCATTAGGTCCAGTCGTGACCGACTCTGGGGTTGCGGCGCTCATCTCATTTTATTGGCCGAGGGAACCAGCGTACAGCTTCTGAGCCATGTGGCCAGCATGACTAAGCCACTTCTGGAGAAGCAGAGCAGCACACGGAAACGCCATTTACCTTCCCGCCAGAGCGGTACCTATTTATCTACTTGCGCTTTGACGTGCTTTTGAACTGCTAGGTTGGCAGGAGCAGGGACCGAGCAACGGGAGCTCACTCCGCGGGGATTCGAACCACCGACCTTCCAATTGGCAAGTCCTAGGCTCTGTGGTTTAACCCACAGCGCCACCCGCATCCCTACAGTTCAAGAAGGGATACTGGCAAGCTGGAACATGTGCAGATGAGGGGAACCAAGGTCTCAAAACCAAGCCCTATGTGGAACGGTTGAGGGAGTTGGGGAATGCTTAGCCTGGAGGAGAAGACTGAGAGGGAGATAGGGTAGCTGTCTTCAAATATCTGAAGGGCAGTCACATGGAAGATGGAGCAAGCTTGTTTTCTCCTGCCCCTGGTCTCCCATTTCACAGTCCAACACTCTAAGCATTACACTATTTACCACTGGACTACAGCTCCCAACATGCATGACCTGCTAAATGGTGCTGATGGGAATTGTAGTTCTTACAATGCTTTGAAAGCACCACGTTGGCCATCTCAGCTGCAGCCAGTATTTGTGAGGACAGATAACAACAACAACAACAACAACAATTATTATTATTATTATTATTATTATTATTATTATTATTTATTATTTATACCCCACCCATCTGGCTGGGTTTCCCCAGCCACTCTGGGCGGCTTCCAACAAAACACTAAAATACAATAACCTATTAAACATTAAAAGCTTCCCTAAACAGGGCTGCCTTCAGATGTCTTCTGAAAGTTTGGTAGTTATTTTTCTCTTTGACATCTGGTGGGAGGGCGTTCCACAGGGCGGGTGCCACTACCGAGAAGGCTCTCTGCCTGGTTCCCTGTAACTTGGCTTCTTGCAGCGAGGGAACTGCCAGAAGGCCCTTGGCGCTGGACCTCAGTGTCCGGGCGGAACGATGGGGGTGGAGACGCTCCTTCAGGTATACTGGACAGAGGGTGCCCACACCTGCCAGCACCACCATATTCTCTCAGAAATGCTTTTTTTAACAAACCGTTTCCTCTAATACAGCACATTTTAAAATGGTAGCTGAAAACCCCAGGAGCCGGCTTCCTTTTCCGCATGGGGAAGCGGACTCTGCAGCTTTCCACGTCCTGATGAACTACATTTCTAGATTATTGGCTGTGCTGACTGGGGTCAATGAGAGTTGGAATCCGAGAACATTTGAAGGAGCACAGATCCTGCCGCTAGCACTCACTGCAAGGCACAGGCAACAGGTTTTCTTGGAGGGCAGTGACAACACCACCAAACTACCACGCCTAAACAATTTCGTCTGTCTTCGCCTTTAGCAATAAACTGAGCCAAACCGATGGTTTCCCCGTTTGCTTTCTGCAAGCCGCCCATCGCAGCCAGCTCTTCCTGCTTCATAGAAGGAAACAGCTTGTATATTTAGTGTCCAGAGGTAAAGGAATGATGGATGAGGCATTGCGGAGGGCTGGTCTTGAGTAATGACTAGTCAGCGGCCTAATCAAACATGTCCAAGCAGATTAATCACCTTTAATCAATGCAAGTGATAAAAGGGCTTCTAAATCCAATGTTCTTTTCAGTTTGTACTGATTATGTCTGACTCTTTCCTTCTTTTTTAAAAAAGACACCCTTCATTTCATTAGCCAAAGGCAACAAATTGCTTTTTAAACAATGACTGATATTCCCACCTGACCACAGGATGCAAGCGGCTGCAGCAGTTAATACACGTATCTGCCTATAAAGCTGTTCTATTAGATTTGGGACTGCAAGGATTTTCGTGCTCGCTGCCACGGCCAAGGGGCATTGTATGTGCAAAGGACAGGCATGTTGGAAATGATCAGAGATGCCTGGATGGCAGGCCACATGGGGCTTTGCAGAAGGCTGAGGGAGAGTAGGACTCAAGGCAATGGATTCAAGTTACAAGGAAAGAGATTCTGACTCAACATTGGGAAGAACTTTCTGACAGTCAGAGTTGTTTGGCAGTGGACGGGACTCCCTAGGGTGGTGGTGGTGGACTCAGGGCCGTCTTAACTGTTGGCGCTAGGGGTGCATGGCACCCGGGCGCCAGGCTCTCAGGGGTGCCAGGCCGAGAGTCCTGGGCCGAGCGTTGGAGTCCGGGGAAGAGCCGAGCGAAGCAGAGTCCGTTGGAGCACCGCAGGGTCTTCTGCTGTGGCCGGCTCTTCCTTGGACTCCAACGCTCGCCCCGAACTCGCGCCGAGCCGCCCGCAGCAGAACCTGCGGCACTCCAACGGGCTCTGCTCCACTCGGCTGTCAGCTCTTGCCGCAGCTGCATAGCGGCTAACTGTTTCGGCGCTGTGCCCGGAGCACCGTATAATGATGTGAGCACTGCACGGCGCCGCCTGTTGGTTGCGCCACGCTGTGGGTTCCTTTGCTGGCTTTTCCGCTGTCGGTGCACGCTCCCAGTGCCGTCCAACGTGGGGTGCCAGGGCAGAATGACGGGGAATGCAAGCGGCAGAGCACGTGGAGTGCTCTGGGCACTGTGCGCGCAGCCGAAACAGTTTGCCACCATGCAGTGGGGGGTGGGGGGCAGTGGGCGGAAAGCGTGTTGACTGTGCTGCCCAACATTTCCCCCCCCCCCAGCATGGAACCCGCATCCACCTTCCTACACCCCTGTGCGTGGAGCGCTGGCACCCCCTGTTGGTTGGCGCTGTGAGTCCTTGCATCCCACAACCGTTCTAAAGGTAAACATCTACCGTATTTTTTGCTCTATAAGACTCACTTTTTCCCTCCTAAAAAGTAAAGGGAAATGTGTGTGCGTCTTATGGAGCGAATGCAGGCTGCGCAGCTATCACAGAAGCCAGAACAGCTAGAGGGATTGCTGCTTTCAGTGTGCAGCGATCCCTCTTGCTGTTCTGGCTTCTGAGATTCAGAATATTTTTTTTCTTGTTTTCCTCCTCCAAAAACTAGGTGCGTCTTGTGGTCTGGTGCGTCTTATAGAGCGAAAAATACGGTATTTCCTAAAAAAAGGTCAACAACTTTGGGCAACCTAGGGGTGCTGGGAGGATCTTTGCACCTTGCCGCTGCATATGCTTAAGGCGGCCCTGGGTAGACTCTCCTTCCTCGGACGCTTTTAGCAGAGATTGGCTGGGCATCTGTCATGGCTGCTTTAGTTGAGAATCCAGAATTGCAGGGGGTTGGACTAGATGACCCCCAGGATCCCTTCCAAATCTAAGCTTCTATGATTCTGTGAAGGGGCAGCAGAAGTACAAGGGGGTTGTGTGCATGGTACATGATGTCCGGGGCCCATAAACAGCGTAAACAAATAAATTCTTCCGATGCTCTACCACTGACCTGTAGCTGCTCTTCTGAAAACAGCATAATATTCCAG